TTTAAACTATTGTTACTGATATAATCACAATTACTTTGATTGTGATTGGCTTTTTACATCAACAAAATAAATCAAATTTCCAAACGTGATCAATTGCACACAAAGTGTTTGATATATTGTCTTTGAGTATTTTTATCGTTTTGTATTCATTAGAAATAAGCATTATGAATAGTTTTGCATTTGATTGATCTGTGAATTAATTATTGATTGAATAATTTATGTTCATTATCATTCCATTGGTTTTCATTATGCATATCTGAGCTTTTCACTAGTAGATTCGGTTAGACGATTTGATTCAGATTGTTTCCGTTGTGATATACTTTTTGAAATCATTTTTTTGCCAAGAGTTTTTGGTTTTAAATTTGTTATCTATTCACTCCCTCTCTAAATTGAAGTCTATCGTCTAACATTATCTCAGTTAGATCATTGTGCATCTCTTATAATTGAGGGCTTTTCATTAAAATATATTTTGCATGCATAAATCAGACCTTTTACCTAAAGTCGACACAAAATGATTTATTTTAATAAGTTGAAAACTTGAATCAAGAAATTCACAAAAATATGGTTCAAGTCATACAAATTCTCAATTCAATCATAAACTTTTTCTTTTCTCGACATTTTAATTTTGCAATTATGATTTAAATCAAATAATTGGGTGACTTGAATCATAGACTTAATGAGTAAATTAGAATTTATCTCGGGTAGTATGATTCAAATCACAAGATCCCCTGATTCTAATCAAATAAGAGCTAGATTTGAATCACATAATAGCCTAACTCGAGTCATGAATGAGCTTTACAATTTTGAGTTCTCCTGTGGTTGTGTGACTCAAATCAAGAATGTTCTTGACTCAAGTCACATGACTAGAATCCAAGGTGCAAAAGCTGGGTTTTGTGTTCTTAATTCAAATCATTATGTCATTTGACTCGAATCACAATCTTTGGTCTTGACTCTAATCATAAGGGTCGTTTTACTCATTTTAAGTGCATTAACTCCAATACATATAGAAATAAATAATTTCTCTTTCCAATAACAAAATTAATAAATTTTACAACTTTTTGAAAAATCATTTGAGTTTTATCAATCACACAAAATCTCCCTCTCTCTCAAATCAAACTTAAGAAATAATTTTTTTCTTCTATTGATTTTGTGAGTTCTTGAGCGTTGTTGTGTGAGATTTCATCTAAAATCATTCACCTTCAACCTCTTGCAAATTACTAATCTTGTGTGTGGATTTCTCAACTCTAAGAGAGTGTGAGATCTAGTGAGAGGATGGTCATTACATGTTATTGTCTTGTGAAGTTTGAGTTTCAAATCGCATATCAAGTTGTGTCTATGCAGCTGAAATTGACAATCCCACCAAGAAAAAAGAATGGTTTTCTTCTCCAAGTACAACTTCGGTAAGACCAAGTAAAGGTTGTTGCGGACAAAATTTAGAATTTCTAGTTCATTCAGTTAGAATAAAGGCTCGAACAAGAGATTTCCATCAGGGTTGAGTGAAGATTGTTGCAGACGGAAGCTTGGAGAAAATTTTGGATATGGGAAGATGAACTGATTCAAGGTTGAGTGAAGATCTTGTGAAATTCAGCCTTATGAGTTAAATGTCAGATACAGAAGATTCAGATTTAAGTTTTTAGCATTATCTGAGATTATTTGATTGTATTGAAAGACATGTTGTAAAATTTTTATATAGTGAAAGAGTAACAGATTTTTGATGACATGATGTGTATTGATCTAACAAGATATGATTTCTTAGAAACATTTGTGACCCACCTCAAAATATAACCTAACGTATTATGTGCATTGGGTGGGTTTTAAAATTACAACCCTTTATTCAAATTTATTCGAAATCAGGATGTCTTATACCACAAACATCCCCTGAATGGATTTCTCATTTCACAAAAGAAACTGAAATTTGGTCGGATAATTTTTTGGATATGATGGAAGAATTCGTCACGTTAAGCGAAATTGAAACAAAAGCAAATAAAAAATTTATAAGGTGAAATGTTTTTTTTTATACATTTTAGTTTTCTTACAATGCATTTTACGTGGTGATACATTTTTTATATGCATTGTTGGATTGTTATTTTCAACAATGTAATTTGGACGTATTTTAAAGATGTTTTAATGTATATCTAACATTTCTTGTATAAAATTGGACTTAAATTTTTCTCTGTTAAAAAATAGGTTATATTTGTGTGTAAAATTGTCTACCTACAAAGTCAACTTTTTTTATTGGATGACTATGAATTTTAATATTTTCACAAGTCATATTTATTGTGTTATTTCATAGGTAAAAGGGTCACTCAAGATTTTAATATCCAAACAAGCACTTATTTGTACCTAATTGAATCTAAATTTCAATTTTCAAAATGACATCTAATACATATAAGTTTTGTATGATTCATATTGATCTAAAACTTGTCTAAATATGCCTCATATGTTGATGTAGCAAACAAAAACAAAAATCTCGAAATATCACATTTGCTTACTTCAACAACACGAGTCTCCTCTTAAATTTAGGGTCACAAATGACACCTTTCTTGTAGTTCTGAAATTTAAATTGAATAATTTTTTACACTACTTAGACATTCGGAGAGTGGTTAAGATAGAGTATCATTCACCCTTTATTGATAATGAAGAAAATGTGAAATTCGACAAGATTGCATTGAAGACCAATGAACATTTAAGAGTTATTTGCAGTATATTTTATCATTACGCGACAAAAGGTTCGATCAAGGTGGATGTGACAGTGGCGAGATCGACCAACGATATTCTAAAGATTTTAAAACGTCATTAACCATTTTGTGATTATTAAATGTCATGTTAGATTTATATTAATAAAGACTTATGTAATGATACATATTTTGTGTATCTAATAATAAATATTTATGTTCATTTGTGTTTTCTTCTTCTTTTGTCTCGAATTGCTTCTAGTTTTGTGATATTACGGTATTGTTCGAATTTTGAAATTTCAAAAATATTTGAGGATGAGTTTATGATTCTGATTTTTCATATGGTATATTCTTTATTTCAAATTCCGAAAATACTCACGAACATCGTTCCACATTATTTCAGAATGAGTTTGTGTGGTTGTTAAATAGAAATATTAGGGAAGAATCTGAATTTTAAAATTTAAACTTTTTTTTAACATTTGCTTTTGCATATTTTAAAGTTTATTGTGTATTTCAGACACGTTCAGAGTTTAAAATCTGAAATCTAGAGGTGTTTTTAGAATTTTGCCATGCATGTGAGTAATTCATAAAGTTGTATTGAAGAATCCCAAAACAAAATACCATTAGGTCAAATCTAGCAAAGAAATTCATAACAAAAAATCCTATTAAAGAAGTACCAGAGGTGTATCTCAGTTTTCTGAAGTGTGCAACATTAGTAAGACCACACATACAATCACCGCCATTATTATTACTACATAAAAAAGAAAAGACAAAGAAATGAGATTTTTTTTTTCTACCACTTGTTGAGTTGTGTCTGAGTCCCTATTGATTTTTCGTAATAGCAAAGCTATCTTTTATTTTTTTCATTAACAAACAGCTGAAAAAATTTCTCGATCGAAAAAATCTGGTAGACAAATCAAAAAAATTCGGTATACATTTTTAGTGGCATTTTCAAAAAAATGTAGTGCTTGACAAAAAAGAAACAAAACAGATAAATAAATAAAACTAAACAAAAAAGTTGAATACTATATTTTTTTAAAATTTTGAAAATCATCATACGTTTACTGACATTTTCAAAAAAATCTGATGATGTGTGACAAATTTTACCTGCTTTTTCAGAAATTCAAAAATAAAATAAAACAAAACAAAAAATAAAACTATAGAAAACAAAAATTAACTACCAAATTCAAAAAATGACAACGCATTTGAATCAACATCTTTAAAAAAATGGTATTTACCGGCATTTTCGAAATTACAGATATGACTAAGTTTTTAACGACAACTTTATAATGCCGATAAAAAGGTGAGTATGATACCTCATTTTTCAAAAATGCACGCAAAAAAAAATGAATTTTATCAAAAATTTTGAAAATGGCAATAAAAAACAGTTTTTGTGAAAAATCTAACATGGTTGATATAAATGCATAAGTTTAATAGAAAAACACTTCTAAATTTCGGATAGAAACTTCAAAAGAATATAGTAAAAGTCCAAAATCTGAAGAAAAAAAAATGACAATTTGAATACTGAAAGTCGTGCAAAAATATTATGATAAAAGTGCAACAATTGGGAGTATCAAAGTATAACTAAATGGGTGTCAAGATAAATTCTCCAAAGAGACCAACAAACATTGAATAGAGGAGGAGCAACCAAAAAACAGTGAACAGAGGAGGAGCAACTATTCACAAATGAAATCAATTTAAATCCAAGAAGCCACCTTCACATTCGTGGATACAGAGAATACAAGGTATATGTAACTACTGGGATTTCAAAAAATTAGGGTTTAGTTTTTTAGTTGGAGAATTCCCTGGAGCATATTTGCTGGTTTAACATAGCCTCCATCAATGAAGAGCATGGATAAGGCGGAGAACAGCCGCAGGAAGAGATTGAAGATGTGTGTTCCTCACTCACTTCACCAGTTGCATCTAACGAAGGGAAAGGGGAAAGGAAGGGAAAATGTTACACAGATGATGCATTATAAGATTAGATAGGTCCAAACAAAATTAAAATGTGATCTATCATAATCACTAAAATTAATGTTTCACAATAGTTGCTGCCTAAATAAAACTTGAACAAACAGTCTCTAAGGTCTCTTTCACTTTCAACTGCTTTAAAGCTGTAATATCATGAGAAAAGTTTTTCAGTCACACCTTTTTATTAAGTACCCATCTACATATTCATTGAATTGACTAAACAAAATACAGATGCCCCAATGGATGGGTCTGCATCGTAAGTAAAGCTACCCGCCTCAGGAGAACTTATCCAAATAAAGTAAGATGATTGACATGAATGTGCATTAAGGGAAGGACCAAAACTTGTACGCTGATTCACACCGAAATCCCTAACTCAGATATCTTCATTATCCGTTTGTCTAGCACAGATCTCTGCCGCTTCAAATTTGAAGCCAAAGAGGCAACCTAGTCATTATTTGTGGATGACAAAAAACAGTAAGTAATTTAAAATTACTGCACTATAGGAAAACAAATACAAAAGTCATAGGCTTGCCTCAGCTCGAAGTGCCAGAGCTTCCCGACTAGGTATTTCGCGCAGCCTGTCTATTAAATCTACAGCATGATAATAGGGGGTAAATTTCAAAGTAACAGTAGATATCATCACATCCTCAAAGCATACATAGATGATTTTGTTTTTATAGAGCATACCAGTAGCTCTGGCTTCAACCTTGTATGATGATTTTGCCAGCCGTTGTAATTGGGCTCCAGTGTTCCTATGCATCATTGGAGTCAAACATTCAGTCATACTTCTGTAATAAAATAACTCGTGCATCCTTTTTATGAATAATAATACATACATCAGTTCGTCATGCCCATATTTCATTTCCTTTTCAGCCAGAGCTGTCCTTTGAAGCAATTTTATGCTCTCTTTCCTCAGTAAATTTACTGAGAGGTTCAAGTCCTTCACATTCTTCTCGGCACTTGCATATCGTGCCTTCATAGGTATTCATGAAAAAAGGTGAAACAAACAACAGAATATGAAATATTGAAACGTTTACAAAAGACAACTGTATAAGATCTCAAGATAGAACGCCATAAATATTAGGCTACAATATAATGAAAAAACATATATGATTTATGCATCCCAAATAGAGAGGAGCAGTATGTGAGAACTTAGGTTAGGGATGCATCTTGATAGTTCAACTGAATAATACCTCCTCACTCTGAAATCGACCCAATGTTTGACGAAACAGAAATCTTCTTGGAGCTGCAATAAGATCAAGTACTTTAAAATAAAATAGAATACAAGATAGTTACAAATTCAGTTGACTTGAGACACATAAAATAGCATTAGATAAGACTAGTTTGATTCATATCCAATTTATAGCACAAGCGTCAAAATGATCACATATTCCAGGATATGCAGCAACAGTAACAAATAGGTTATACCTCACCAAATAGGATCGGCTGCATGGATCAATCAATGTCATTCGAATATATCAAAAACCAATTTGAGCAAGATCTTTTTTACGGTTTATTCTAAAGTTTTTTTATGAGAAATAATTTAAGCTTAGGGGAGGCAGAGGCACACTTTCATGTAAGATCAGAGAGAACAATCACAACCAAAGCAAGGATTAACGGCGAAATTTTTAATAAATATCCCAATAGGGGATTCCACTATTCTAAAATTTTAATAGGTCTTCCACTATTTATTTTAATTGAACCCCATTGCCTCACATCACATATTCACCTGAAAAGAATCTTGTCCTGGAGTTTTCAGCTTAATCACGAAATCTTCCACTCCAGAATTGAATATATATATATATATATATATATATATATATATATATATATATATATATATATATATATATATATATATATATATATATATATATATATACACTGAAAATTTGATAAATTAAATATTCAATCTTGAAATTTAAATATTTGAAAGCCTTAAAATTGGTTCCTGATTTGTTCTCTGAATTTGCAGAAATTAAGATCCTTTCCGCGTGTATCGTTAGCTAACAAGCTTCATCAATCAATTGTTGAATGTATTTGAGCGAAGCATATCTGACTGAATAAAGTAAAATCAATGTTGTCTAACTCTGAAAGTTCAAAATGGTATCCAAAAACTAGTATTCTATCTTAAAATTTTCTGGAGTTTATTATGAATATTTTTTAGGAGTCGTGTCATCTTCCACTTTGCATTGTGATTTCGTGATTGGATAAATGAAAAATGCATTTTTTGGTTGAACTATTGACATGTAGTTAATCAGGTTCCTTTTGATGATCCATGCATCTGGATATTGTAGATCAGTGAAGAAATCCTAACTACAATTCAATCTTACTTAAGATTACTTTCCAGACTCCCTACAAAGTCGAAGCTGCTTTCGTATTTTTAAAGCAGGCTCCTTCGACAAGATGCTTGTTGCTTCAAAGAATGTTCAGATACGACAAATCCTCTACGATGTGTTAAAAATCCACAGTGGAAAATAGAACAAATAAAAGAGTGATTTTACTGTTTTTGACTGAAAAATGAATAAAAGATGGCAAAAGATTTCTCCTCTGATGGCTTCCCCTTATAATTTACTCTATGCTAACAAATCTCAATGATCCCTCTACTCTACTCTTGCATCCCTTTACTTTTTATGGAACTTGTTCTCCCTACTAACTTGCTCTGCTCTACCTATCCCTAACTAATTGTTAAGTCTCTTCTGTACTAACAGTACATCACAACAAATCTAATTCTACTCTAAGTCGATGAGCCTCGCCACGGTTTTAATATCTCACTTCATGCAAGGGGCACAGAAACAGCAGCTTCTAAATAGAATCACAACTAAAAGTTGGGAGTAAATGTATATCATATAAAAGCTGAATACAAGTTTCAAGGGATATTATACCAGGTTAACTGTATTACTGTATAATAGAGTCAAACCCAAATTATATAAAGTCAAACTTGGCTAGGTAGTCCTTTAAAGGAGAGATGCTAGTCATATGACTACTTTGTACAACAGAAACTACGTCAAGAAAAAAACGGAAATCAATGAAATAACACAGGTAAAAAAGAAATAAGCATTGATCCTGCATTAGTTTCCCCAGTTTGGCCACAATATAATACACTGTGAGAATACAAAGCTACAGATGCAAAAGCCGTTAGTTGAACACATACAAGAGTTAGCACGGAGATGTATGTTTTTTTTCAAATGATATAATATGGTTCTACTCGGAGAGTTAAGAGAGGAATTAAATAGGTGGTTGGACACTGTGAGATGAGTCTTAGAAGCTTATAGCTTCCGCCCGAGCAAAAGAAATAAAACAGAGTATACGAAATGTAAATTTAACAAAAGAAGAAGCAATTATAACTTAGAAGTGAAAGTTTGAGATCGTATCATCCAAAGTTATCTAGTTTAAATATTGAGTTCATAGTACAAAACAACGGAGAAATAGAAGGAGACATAAACCATCGCATTCAAGCCGGGTCGTTGAAATGGAGGTTAACCTCATCTGTTTTATATGATACGTAAGTGCCGCTCAAAATGAAGGGAATTTTATCTGACAATCAGTCGTAAAACCAGCGTTGTTATACGGGACAAAATATTGGGCTGTAAAGAATCAACACTAAAATAAAATAAGTGTGGCACAGATGAAAATGTTGCGTTAAATGTGTGATAAGACTAGACGAAATAAGGTTAGAAATGAAAATATTAGAGTTGGGGTAGCACCTATAGTAGAAAAGATGATGAAAACTAGGCATTGGTAGTTTGGGCATGTAGAGAGAAGACCTATGAATTATGTAGAAAGGAGAGTAGATCAGATTAAGAGTAGTTAAACCGCTATAGGTAGAGAAAGACCTAGAAAAACTAATAAAAAAACCTATTAAAATGATCTCGAGATTAATGAGTTGGAAAGAAACATGGTCTTTTATAAAACATTATGGCATAGTTTGATTCATATAGTCAACCTCACTTAATAGGATAATGTTTGGTTGTTGTTGTAAAAAAACTCATTACTTCTATGGAGGATAGTTAAACCGCTATAGATAGAGGAAGACCTAGAAAAACTTTAAAAAAAACTATTTAAAAGATCTTGAGATTAATGAGTTGGAAAAAAGCATGGTCTTTTATAGAACATTATGAGATAGTTTGATTCATGTAGTCGACCTCAATGGGATAATGTTTGATTGATGTTGTAAGAAAACTCGTTCCTTGTATGGAGGGACTACTGCGGAAATTTTGATTAGTAGGGGCACCATATATATCTATTTAGCATGTATAGTACAAGAAAATTAAAAGAAACATTTTAGTCACTAAATCTGTGATTGCAAACGCATCTCCAAATATCTCTTTTGTTATTAATTTTATATATCAAATTGACTAACAAAATACATATTTGAGGACTAAATTTACTAGCTAAAGACACATTTATAGACCAAAAATAATCAAAGGATAGTGGAGGCACAATCTATAACATATGTCTTTCTTTTTATTATATTAGTTTTTTAGTGTATTGAATACTAAAAAAAAATTGTTTTCAAGATTAAGTGTAGGTCATTGCCCACCTATGAAGCAAAGACACTCCAATAACGATCCCGAAACTGACACGGTGACACCGATAATAATTTGAAAAAATGAATAAATTAAATGTAATCACAAATGTCGGTGCAAGTGTCCGACAAGGACACAGACACATATATTTTCAGAGATATCGGTGCTACATAGTTGCCCACACAACCCACGAAGTGGGTCCGCCCCTACTTTCATGTGCAAAAAAAGCAACAAAAAAAATACCTCTCATAACAAGAAAGGCAGCAGAAACAGCAAAACCAACACCTAAAGCTGGATTCTCCCGTGCTACCATCAAGCCATCTGTAAAAGGGTTAAGATTATAAATTGGTGATGGTTCTAGATATATAAATGCTCACCCACAAAGGAGGAAAATGCATCTTCATAAGTTTGATACTATTTAAAATGTAATCACCTTTAATTTTACTGAAGAAAGCGTCTTCATAAGTTCTATACTGCGACACTGCTTCTGGTAAAAACTTCTACAAATAAATCAGAGATAATCTGGATGAGTTTTGGAGCCGATCATATTTTATTGAGATAAAAAAGGGATTACGCATGGTCAGGAATCTCCTGTATTAATACAAAACAAGACATAACACAGATAGAAAAAAAAAATAAGAGAGCATGAGAAGAAGTTATGGCATTAGAAGAATAGATATTTTCTATAAAGGAATACGAAAGCAAATGAAGGAGCCTAACCAATCATTTAAAATATAATTATAAAATAGTGCCTTATATTTATTTACAATATTTCATAGATACCATGAAAATAACTTTGCTTTAATTTTTAAGATGATTTGACTGTTTACTATTTTCTTATATATCAATAACTGTTAGCATTGGCTTTCTATGGTCTAAAAGAAAAACAATCCCAAACTAATCAAGCTTCATAATGCAGACAGGTTTAGCAGGTTAATCACAACAACATCTCATCATAAAATAAAATATGAAACTAAAAAAAAGAAGACAACATTTTATTTCTGGATCCAATCTGATCTAATATATTTTAGGCTCCTGGATTAAATCCGGTCAAGCATGTATTACTCTATTTGGATAACAAAAGTGAAAGTCGTGTATAGATATACAAAGAACCGAGAATGCAATTCTAGTTTTATTGGTTTGGCAGTGGGGGCAGGCTGGCTGGGCTGCCTTAGAGGTTCCAACAATATCCAAACCTTCTAGAGGTTCTGCTCAGTCACAACTCACAATAGATCACACAGCTCCTTTTTCTCCTCTATCTTTTGTCCTTCTGTGTGTAGAACAATCATTTATATGTTTTTGGAGTTGTAAGCCCCTAAAACAAGGGTCACCGTAGTATAAAGAGTGGGTTTACACTTTTATCCTCCTCTCATTGGCTCTCTCTGCCTTCATTCATTCTTGTGTTTCTACACCATAATGATTTTTGTTTCCCTCTTTGTAGTTTCATCTTTGCTTCTTCTTCTTCTTTTTCTGCTCCTTGAACCAAACTGTTGATTGGTTGCTTTTGTTGCCCCCCAAATCTAGGTTGTCTTTGCCTCTCTTGTTCCACAATTTCTTGCACCCGTAGTTCTTCTTCCCCCCTATAGAGCCTCTTAGCTTCTGATTCTTTATTCTCATTTCAAAATGCAAATTGTTCTAAGACTAATTTCAATTCAATTTCCATATCCACAGCCAAAACAGGCACCAGTAGATCCAAGTCATACTCACACAGGGGTCACTTGAGCAGTCTCTAAAGTCCACCACCTAGCATTCCGTTTGCCCCATTTCTAGCAAAACCATCGACTGATAGCACCACTTCTTCCCGCCTTCACAGCCCTTGAACTTATACATCATCCTCTCCACAAATTATCCAAAATTAGAATAATCTTCAACATGCAATGCCCATAGCCCGAATACCATAGCTTTGATAACAGTTGGTAGAAACAATGTATGCAATCCCAAGAAATTAAGGTAAAGTTTCCAATAACAGAGATCAAAATATTGTAGAACTTCAGCGCATCCTAAAACTTCTAAGAAGTAAGAAATAAAATTTCTAACCAATTTAAAATGAAAATAATGAAATATGAACAATAAAGCTAAATGATCTTATATCTATGTTGCCTATGGCAAATCGAATATGAAGAATTGGGGAAAAATAAAGAGAGTAAACCTGAAAGGTATGAAAATGGGTGGAAGAACTGTGTTGCATAGTACGAGCAGATTCAATTGCAGAACGCTGAAAATTCTCTGCAATCGACGACAGTGATGCGGATGCCGATGTCGGCAAGGGGGGCGCGTCTTCTCCGTTGGAAGAGGACAAGGAATCTGTCTCTGCCATTTTCTGACGGAAGCGCTACTGCTATCGGTGATTGTTCCGTCCCGGCCGATATGTAACTCGCGAATAAACAATACGGGTAAGCTAAGAATAAATCACTAATCTATTGTCTAACCTATCGCTTTTCTCTAATTTATTTAATTAAGTAAGAAATTATAATTATAATAATATATGATAATATTATTATTATTAAATAAATAAATATAAAATAAAAATTATATAATTGTGTTTAAAAAATGTATATCATATAAATTGTTTTAAATGATGGTTAAGAAATATATATTTTTTAATAAAAATAAATAAATAAATAAAATTAAATAGTTATTTATCCGTGAGTTCGTACGGGTCATGCAATTTTGTTATAAGTGATAAATAAATAATTATTAATATATATATATATATATATATATATATATATATATATATATATATATATATATATATATATATATATATATATATATATAAATTAATTAGTTTTAACAAATTAAAAATATATTTTTTATTAAAAATAAATAAACAATTATCTACCTATGTATTCACAGACAGCACAATATCGTTATATAGTAGAGTGATGGTTAATTAATTCATATAAAAGATATAAAAGTTAAATATTTTTGGGCCATGAAAAACGTATATTTTAATAAAAAAATAAAATAATAAAATAATCATATATCCATGTATTCGCATGAGTAGCATAATATTGTTATAAATAATAAATAAATATAATTTTGCAATATCAAAAATATATATTTTAGTAGAAAATATATTGATCATATTTTTAATATTAAATTAAAACCTATCATAAATATTAAGTCGTATTATGGTGATATGGTAATGTTTTAAATTTAAAAAATATGACAATTTTGTGAGTTTCATTAAAAGGTTATATATTCACCATCATAATTGTTTCATGCTTTATTTATTAAACCAATATTTATAAAAAAATTATAATATAAAAATTACCTTTTATTATTAAAAAATACAATTTGCATAGCTATGTAATAGAGAAACAAATTCTTCGATAATAACAACCGTTAACAAAACAAAAATAGAATTTTAAAAACAGTATTTCTTCTTCAACATTTAATTCAATTTCCATTTATAAAATCAAGTCATTAAATGAGAATAACAAGAATTAGCACAAATTTATTAATTTTTAATATTAGTACAAAATAATAAATATATTATCATAAATTTAAATTTAAATTTAAATTTATTCTTCTGAATTTGAAAGTGTATCTTACTTTTTCCCATGTATGCTTGATATTCACTAGGATGTTTATGGATTGGGTTAGGTCTAATTTGATTAAGAGAATTTTTTAATTCATCCTTTGATACTCTTAACATCTAGAGCATTTCCTTTTATACCCCTTGTTTTCGAGATACATATTCAAAATAATTTAAAATTGATTTTTTTTTGGTCAAAATTTGGTTTTTTTTTCGGAGATACATCTACGGAATAATTTAAAATTGGTAAATATTGGGAAAAACTTCAAAATAATTTAGTTCAGGAAAACTTCCGTAAATGCACCTCCGAAATGTCTGAGTGTCAGATTGTTCCATAGATACAGCTCCGAAAATTTATGCTATATTTGAAATCGGATTCCCTATACCACCTACATCACCGGAATGGGCGACTCATTCAACCGCAAATGTCGAGACGTGGCCGGATCATTTTATTGAAAGGATGCACGAATTCGAAAGATTAAATAACGTTGAAAAGGAATCGAATGCGGAAAAGTCCAAAGAGGTACCACCAATAGATTTATCGTTGAGACTTGTTTTGATTCATTTTGAATTCAAGGAAAGTTTCAGAGATACACCTCCGAAATCAATAATTATGGGGTCGCTTCGTGGATGTATCTCCTTTAAAAAGTTTGACAGAAAATGGTTGGTCCATATTCACCTAGGTTTCTATAAATTTGGGGTTTCATTTGTTATCTTTCACACAAATACAAAAATGTCTCAATTGTGTGAAATCAAAATCTGTTGGTATGTCGCAAGTGTCTTCTTTTTCGACGGCAAAACACCCAAGAGGACGTTCAAGCTCATGGATTTCACCCCCTCGCCGATATCATATACGAGATCCAATATCACCTACCTTACAATGACAAACGAAAGGTTGTGAAGCTTGAGTATCGTTCACCTTCAGTTGACAACGAAGGGAATGTTGTTTACAGCAAGTTTGAGCTCAGGAACCAAGACGATGTTAGGGCGATGTGGCGAACGTATCTCAGTTTCGAAGAGAAAATTTTGCTCGAGTTGGAGACGACGGTCCGAAAAACAGTCGATGATATCTTAGAGATGTGCAAGCGTCCATTGGGCTATTGAAATGTAGTGTTTAAATTTCTGTCAAAATCATTAATGTAACGGAGATTTTATTTTATGAATGTTGATTTTATCGTTGCAATGTTGATTTTCTGGTATTTTGTTTCTGGTATCTTCCGTAAATACGCATACAAAAATATTTTGTAGATGCATCTACGGGATTAATTAAAAAAAACTTTAAAAAAGTACGTCCGGAGATACATATCCGAAATCAGGAGGTATTTTAGGCAAAGCACATGGTGCCTAAAAAGACCAAGGGGTGGGATAAAAAATCCTCTTTGATTAAATTCAATACCTAACCCAATCAATATTATTTGGATTGGATTGAGTACTCGACCCGAGACTAAATACGAATCAAACCAACACGCTCATCAATTGGTTGGATTGGGTTGAGTTCGTGGGTCATCCACTAAGTATAATTTTCAAATTCTAAATAAAATATATCAATTTAATTAACACATTTGTATTACAAAAACATTAAAAAAAATCATAAACTTTTAGTATTCAATTTGAATAAAATGTATTAGTTAATACCTAAAAACTCTTTTACGATTTATATAAAATTAGAAAAATATATAAATGGTGTAAAGTATAATTTAAAATGTAAGATATATTTCTCTTTGAACAAATAAATTTGATCTCTCAAATTTGATTTAGACTTAGACTTATACAATTAATAAAAATTATAACTATATTAAAAAATATATATGCATTGTAAGAATTATGCTAGATAATTTATAAATAAAATAAAATAAAAATAGTGGAACATAACAGTGAGTTGGGTTCGCGGGTTCGTAGATTTAAAAATACAAATTTGTTACCCGAACCAAATACCAATTTGTTGGATAAAAATAAGGGTCGGGTTGGGTTAGGTGAGTTTGCGGGTTAACTCGTACCCATAAAATCATGTTATGTACTTAATATATTTTATAGATGGTTAAAAATCATAGTAAAAAATTGATGTAACAGAGAAAAAATCACATATCTAATATACAATTTGTTTCTCAAAGTCTACACAATAGTATTTTTTGAATACTAAAGGCCAAAAGCAAAGCAAGATGCTTCTAAGAACTTTTCCACAATAATAAGCCCTTTCAAAAAGAGCTAAGTTCGAGCCTTATTCCAAGAACTTCTCTGTTGTCAATAACTACTTACAAGCAAGTATCAGCCAAATACACGATAACCTTTATCCAAATATAAACTCTACAACAAAACCAAACTGCAAATCCCAGTAACAACAATTCATAAAATGAGCTCAAACTTTCAAATCGTTGATATCTTTAACGCAATCAAACTTTTGACCGGGGAATAATATACCATTTTAGAATGAGGTAGATCAACAAAATGAGGTTTTTAAACTTTGTTCATATAAAGTCCCCATTTTAGAATTGAACTTGAAAAGGAATGGATTGTAATTAACCTAAACCGATTTATAAAGTTATATATCATTCAATTTTTTATTTTGTAAAATGATGAGATTTATAGATGAAGAAAATAAAATAAAAAACATATGTTTTCTCCTTTTCAATTTGAAACTATGCCACACCAATACACTGATAGATGAAAATTAGTTATTATGGGAGAATCCAGGAGGTTTAGAGTTAATTAAAATAGTGAAAGACATTGAAAGAGTAAAATAAACCGTAAAAAAATGTCTTTGGAAATATGAAATTGTGTTTATTGGTATTTCTAATTGAAAGGGATACAGTCCGTTTGGAGACGGATATGAAAGGGTTTATTGGTATATGAAATTATGTAGTTCACATTGGTAAATGGAAAGTTTTTTTTATCAATACAAAGTGTGATTTAAAAAATGCAAGCATTCTAACTATTTACATTAAATACTACTTTTAATTAAATTAGGTAATAATAAGAATAAAATGTGACACATTTGGTTGACCAATTTACATTAAACATGCAATATTATTAAATAAATCGTAATCATGATTATGAATGAGAAATTACAATTAAGGGTATGAAAAACAACATTATATTTATTTTAATTTGGGTAATTAAGTAAATTTGGTGGGTATCGATTTTATTATTATTATTATTAATGTTAAATATGTTCGTTGTTTTTTTAAATATCTCAATCTAGCCGCCATGTTCACTCTCCTTGCTTGTTCATCAAGTTAGACGTCATGTTCTTCTCCTCGCTTCCTCAACCTATCGGTCACTGTTCACCCATTTTCTTCTCCAAATCCAAATTTCTAGCCACCATGTAACCTCCGTTCTTAGTGGTGTGATGAGGTTTTTCCTCCGTACCACCATTTTTTCTGGTGACGTTTTTTCTCCATTCGTCTTTGTTGCACCCGCTCTTCTCCGTCGACATTTTTTTCATTTTATTTCTGGTGGCACACGTCAGTTGTTTTTCTTATCTTCCATCGGATCTGTCTCTTTTTAGAACACTATGCAATAACTTATGCTCAATGTTTTCTAACAGCATGCGTTGATCTCTGACTCTGATTTGCTGAGTGGCTTCTGTTCGTTTTCAAATAGGTGTCATTTCTGGTTCACTAGCGTTTGGTCTGCTGGTTGTTTATGGTTGTTTCGACATTTTTACTAGTTTGTTACCATGGCAGAGGTTGGTTTTGTTTTTGGTGGTTTCATTTTGAAACTGATGGTTGTTGTTCTCAAACTACGCTTCGCTAGTATTAGTGGTGGATTCTTGA